GTGTAATCTTTTATTTTTTACTTGAGGTCAGCCTGCATGCTGTTTACCATTTGGTTATAGGCTTCTTCTTCTTCTTCTTCTTGATTCTTAATTGTAATATTGGTGAAATTTTACTCAATTACAATTAAGAACTACATGTCAACCTGTTCTACGTCTTATGGCCCGTTGACTCTGATTTCAGCCTGCTTTTTTTCTGGATTTTTTTCCATAGCCTTTGTCCACAAAAGAGGTGCCTACAAGACTGGAGTTGTCATAAGTTGCTTGTTTGAAGAGCATTGTTACTCTAACAAACTAAACTCGAACAATTCATTTTTAAAGGAGGTTAATAATTTTTTTCTCAAATACATTCTTACATTAAAACAATGGAAATACTTCAGGTTATTATAAAATATACGACTTACTCACCTTAAGTTGTATTACACAAATTGTACACATCTGTTAAATGCTATAAACAGTTATCAATATCCAATCTAAGTTCACTAGTCACTTATACACAACGTATACAGGAACTTATTGTCAGAAAACTTGTGGTGAAAGCCGTCACTTTGGCAGACTGTTCAATGTAGAAGTATTTAATTCTAAAACACGTAAGTACTTTCTATAATGTGGGCTGTATTTGAACGATGACATTTTGAGGGTATCGCTACCCTGATATAATCCCTTAACACTAACCTTAGATACAGCACAAACTTAAACCATAAAACTGAGTTCATTCCTGACTGAAATTAAATCTAGTCCTAACCCACAATGTCACAGCATTACCGTTAAACCTAACTAACACCTCGCTTAGACATTTCTGGCATTTCGGAACCAAAGCTTATCTTTGACATACCGGAAACACCAGAACTAGCTTAAGAAGTCTCTGTAAAAAAATACCTGATCAGATTTAGCCAACCCCGACTACCACATCACCCACCTGCCACCAAGAAACTTTACTGGTTTTTCTTCATACGTTTGGTAGCTGGCTCAAGTACGGGGTTGAACAATGCTTCATGGCAACAGATAAGTTCACACATTCAGCATGTACTTAAGGGGATATGCGCGGCAAAAAATCACAAAATTTCTTGTTTTTCGTCATGATGGGTTTCTTGCACTTTTGGATACATAGACCATTTTTGTATTAAGAAAATAACTTTAAAGAGAAAAAAAAATTACCTGATTAAATTACCATTTTTATGACCCTATTAATTAAAAAATAATCAATTTTTACCAATTTTACACGCTCTCTATGAAAAGTTTTATATCCGTCATCATATTGTATTTGGCATCATTGGAAAGCTGGATTTCTCCTTTATTTGATAATCTTATTTTCCATCATCTCGGAAACACCCAAAGCTTACAATCGGCTTTGAAGTTAACACAGATATGGTATTTTCGTGACCTACTTTTCGTTACTTTTGGCTGTTTTTCTCAGTTCGAAGGTTTTTAACACTACAAAGCCTACTACTTTTTTATTTATTAACCAATTGCCACCATATTTTCAGTAATTATTCTTCATGTTAAAATACAACAAAATACAACTTTTGTCACTAGGAAATTGTGGTGGCTTTCAAAGAAAAAAGTATTTGGTAATTAATTAAAATGCAAATTTTGAAACTTTTGAACACTAAAAATGGTACGATTTCTTACTTTGTAAAATTCTTACGAGTTGCTATTTCAAAAAGTTTTCGTGACTAAAGTTTTAATATATACTGAAATATAAGCAGTTTAAATTTGATTGCTATAGGTGCATAAATAAAAAAGCCTTAGCATTTTTAAAAGTACCAAACAAATCAAAATGGCCGAGGTTTTTTTGGGTTTCCATGACAACCCCTTTTTTTGTGCTGTTTAATACTTACTTTCATATGCCAAACATGATAAAGGTATTCAAAAGGCTTTAGATATTAAATTGTAAAAAATAGGAAAAAAACGCGCATATTCCCCTAAGCATATACCTGCTATAAGAATAAATTGGCTACTTAAAAAAATATGTGTGTATGTTTGTGTCTGTGCGTATGTGTGTGCGTGTGCATGTTTATTCAATAATTTAATAATAATACTTTGTTTACTCCAGGACAAATATTATCTTAAAATCAGAAGGTGATTATAATACAGATGGAATCGTTTAATTGACAAGTAATTAGCCATTAAACTTGGACATCTACAGTGTCGAGTTTACTACAAGAACGATAACTCTGTGTCTATCTAATGAGGTGAATACCGATGCCGACCCCTACCCGGGGAAGTCCTGTCAGGTTTAGGATGTCCTGTAGGACAATAATGCTATGGCTGGGGATGTCGTGACGTCATTGAGAAAAATGTGTTCCACTTTTTAAGACACTTTAAGATTAAAATGATGGATAATCACGATTTGATTTGATTTTTTCAACCCTCTTCTGATTACTGCCTAGAACTACTTTTAAAAAAAAAATGTTTTTTTTTAAAGTCTTATCTCTTATAGTCTGTTGGTCAATGTTAATTGTCTTCAGTCAACAGTACTAGACACGACACAGCTCCAAATTTCGTTAGAAGATCCAAAGATGAAGATCTTCATTATCTTTTCACTGTTGGCAATAGTAGCAGGTTAGATATCTTACATTTAAAAGCAATTAATTAATTGATAAACATATTTATGCAGATTGTTTTTTTAAAATGGCACAGATGTCGATTTTTCTTTTTTCGGATAAATAAATGTATCTTTTGTAACAGCTTTTATATGCTTTATACTGTTTGCTTATTGTTTGATTTGTGGTCGTTTATCCTTTGTTAAGTTTTCAAACGAAACTTAAATAACGTTTTTATCGACGGCAATACACACTTTTGTCTAATAATTACGTTTATCAAGCTTATAAACGAAACTCAAATATATATTTTTATTGACTGCAACGCAAATGTATTTACTAATAATTTCTTCTGTCAACTTTTTACGCTTTAAAGCGAATCTCAAATATATATATATATATATATATATATATATATATATATATATATATATATATATATATATATATATATATATATATATATATATATATATATATATATATTGAAGGCAATATAAAGTTGTGACTGATAATTTCCTTTCCCCCAGGCTCGCCCGTCCCTCGGGCTTTCTGTGACTCATTTGACGTGTGTATATTGGGATTGGAACCCGTACCCTCCATATACCCGGGAATCACATCATTTGGGCTGATGTGTACCATTGGCACTGTGTGTACCCACACCATCTGTGGTAACAAGTGTCTATAGACAGCAGCTCGATCTGTTGCAAGACTGATAAACTTCATTTGAGATTGACGCAATCACATCTGCTCAGTAAAAATACGAAACTGTTTCATAAAGCGTACCATCGGTTAATTTTCGCTAAAAAACTATAAGGCATCAAGTTTAACCCCATTCATAAAATAAGAATTAAAGTTCTGTAAATTATAAATGTGTTTCGTGTTTGATTATTTAAATCATAGCAGATAGAATATAAATCGTGGACTGGTCTTCCACAGACTTACTTGTACTGATTAATCTTTTATAATCGTGTTCTGTTTTAAATTGTTGCTGGACAGACTTTGATGAGCTATTTCAAAGTTTATATGAAGCATCTCATCTTTAATTAAGGGCAATATATGTAAATATTTAAATAGATACGCTCCAATCTATAACAAATAAAGCACAGCAATCGACAACCAAGACAACAAACCATGAATTAAACTACTCAAAAGTACGGTCACGGCAAATAAACACAATAGCCTTATTTTGAACAACACAAAGCTACAACCACGCTTCTCTCCTACAGAGTTTCTTCCAGGCATCTCTTAGAGGGGGGGGGAGGGGCAAAATACCCCCCTCCCCGAAAATATTCTACCCCCCCCCCCCCGAACGACATGAAATTTATATAATTTATATAGAAAATATATACTTTTAACAGTGTCCGCCCCCCCCCCCCCGAAGAAAGTCTACTGCCCCCCCCCCCCCCCCCCGAAAATTCCAAGTGCCCCCCGGAGAAAAAAGTCTGGAAGAAACACTGTGTGGTGCTGGTGAAGAACTTTCTAGAAAACTTAAAATTTCATCCGTAGCTAGTTTCTTCAACCTTACAATACATTTTAATTAAAGTCTAACCATGTTACCAATACAAACATTACATTTATTTTTCTGACTTGTAAAGTACCCTTTTGAACCTTAGTTGCAGTGACCTGGACATATGTAGGGATATTGTGGTCAGCACCATTACCACGAGTCTTTACTTGACCTGACATGCATATAAAAGCTGGGGGCAGCAACCCATCTAGGGGAGACAACTCCAAAATCAAACAACTGCTGACTTATATAGTGTTCATTGATGGACAAAAGATTTAGAAGCAAATTCATAAAGTAACTCAGGCTAAACTCGGATATAGCGCATACCATGTTGACACGTATTATTTAATTGTTTTCCTTAATTCCCTTCATTATTAGAATAAACAACAAAAATACAACAAGAAATGATAAGCTTTCAATTTGTTATCTAGATTAAAAACATAACTTTAAAACTCCTTATCTCTGAAAGTCGGGCTGTGAGGTTCTAGAGTCATTCATTAGCGCCAGTTACTCCACAGGTCGGTTTGTTGTCAGAAAACTCCGAGATGAAGATCTTCATTTTCTTGGCTCTTCTGTCTTTAGCAGAGGGTGAGAAAAATGAACAAGTGTTTATATGGAGGTGTAAATATTGCTTGATTTATAACACTGTTTAGATACTTATATAATTACCGTTATTTGTAATGACTAAGGTGTAAATAATTTTAAGTGATGCGATAAAGCTTAATTCTCAAGATTTCATATTATGTGTAAGTATATAGGCATACCTTATGTATATATTATTTGCATAAATATGTACATACATATTTATATACATATATTTATTTATTTATTTTCATTTATTCATGTATTTTTGTATTAATGTATTAATGTATTCATTTATTAGTTTATTAGTTCATTAGCTTATTAGTTTGTTAGTTTATTCGTTTATTAGTTTATTTATTAATTTATTA